CTAAACCCAAAAATAATCTCTAGATTATTGGACACCTAGACTTAATAGTAGTTCAGAGAAGACACAAGGTTGGATTTCAGTGCTTGTCGGCCCTGTGTTCATCCCTCAAGAACCTTGCTGAGCTTTACGATCTTACCTCAGTCCTAGCTTCCTCTCCCGGGTGGTGTCTGCTCCGCCCTGCCTTCGGCAAGATCTCGGCCTCCTTCATTTTACTGCAGTCCTCTTTCCCCCGGAGGCCTCCTCTTCCTGTCCTCTGAACCCCACCTTCTTTTAGGTTCGGAATGCTCGCTTGCCCATCTGTGTTCACAGTTGAGTTCAGTTTCTCTCTCCTGAGGACCCTGTGATGGTGGTGACCTGGGTTGAAAGTCCCCTCCCTGGCTCACCATATTGAACTAGAATCCCTGAACAACTTACTGTCCCAACAGCAGCCTCAGGCAAGCTGTTGGAGGTCTGGGCCTTTGGGAACGTAGATGGCTTCCTGCCTTGACCCAGGGTTGTGTGAGGATCTGCTAGCAGTATTGCAGAAGTGAAGATGTCCCTCCAAATGAAAACAAGAGGTTTCTTTAGAGCTTGCCATGACTGTACTGTCGGATATCATGGCTTGAGACTGGCAGAGATTCAAGGCAGGCAGAGGGGTGGGGGAAGTCGGGGTAGGGAGAGGAACCAGGGGTAGAGCTGTTGGCGAGGGGTGTTGGGGGTGGGTCAGTGCCAACGCGGCTCTCATGCAGTTGGCAGGGAGCCCATTGGCCCTGGCTGGCCTGGGGGTGGAAGCTGTGGGCTGTGACGTCCGGGCAGCTCCGGGTGCATTGTTGTAGAAGTTGTTCTTGAGAGCATGGCTTCCGGGTGGGTCGCTGTGGCCAGGACACTGGTCGTCTACACACATGGCCACAGATTTATGTAAAAGTTCGTTTGAATGTACGGTCTGGCCATCGTTGCCTGTATGTGGTTTCTCCACGTGATTTTAGGCTCACGTCCATGTGGCTAAGCTGTTTGATATTTCACAGTGTTTTACCTGAACTAAGCAGACATGCCCAGAAATGGCCTTGAGAAAGCAGCAGCTGTCCCCATTTAGAGATTTCCCCTCAGGCAGCTGCCCGGAAGGTGGGAGGCGGGGCTGGCCGCACAGTGCTGCTGTCCCCACCCGACTGGTGGCCCTGAGCAGGTGGGGGAGGGAAGGCTGGCCAGGATTAGCACTCCGGGAACTCGTTGCTCACTGTCCATTTTTATATTCACAGTCACAGAATTGGGAAGGCATTTTTTTCTCATCACTCCTCGACCCCCCCAGACAGAGTTTCTCTGTGCAACCGCCCTGGCTGTTCTAGAACTCACTCTGTAGACCAGGCTGGCCTTGAATCCACAGATACCTGCCTGCCTCTGCCTCCCTAAAGCTGGGATTAAAGGCATTCTCCTCATAAACTGTTCTTTGAAAACTTCTGTGGCTAAGACATGGTAATTTTCCTTGACACCTAGCTCTAGACCTGTAACTCCAGCTCCAGGGGATCTGACGCCCTGTCCTGGTTCATGCATGTGCGCACACATACACACAAAATTTTTTTAAAAAAATTAAATAAATAAACCTTGAAAATACTTCTGTGTAGGAAAGCCTATGAGCAGTCCCCTGGGCTCCTAGGTCTTCTCCTTCACACTCCTCCTGAATCATGTCCTTGTCGTCTGAGCCTGGGCTCTAGACCTCACCTGCCTGCACTGAAAAGCCCCCGTTTCCACCTCTCGTTGCTGAGAGACAGTCTTGTGCTGACAGTGTTTGGTGGGGTCCTCAGCTGAGCCTGGGGTGTTGGGATAGATGTTTCTGGATAGTTATCAAAGAGGTTTTAACCACTTCTCCTTCGTCTTTGCCACAGGAAAAGCGAGCCGATTCACTCCCCGATTGGACTCATTAGATCTTAACCCCAGCCTCTGAAGAGTTCTAAAGCATCCTTGACCTGGCTTCTGCAGATGTTGGGTAGGTTTTGCTCCTTGCCATAGAGTCCTGCTCCCCGCTTTCTCCCCATGTACACACATGATTTTATTTGCACTGAAATGTGATTTTATTTGTATGTTAATAAATAAAGTTGCTTGGGGGTCAGAGCTAATAGCAAGCCATCGCAGAAGCTGGGCGGTGGTGGTGCACGCCTTTAATCCCAGCACTTGGTAGAAGAGCTAGGTAGATCTCTGTGTGTTCAAGGATACAGGCAGCATGGAGACACACGCCTTTAATCTCAATACCATAGAAGACCTGGAGGACTGTACAAACAGGCAGTGACGAGGCAGTCATGTATTTGGGTTTACAACCAATGAGAAGGCAGAACAGAAAGACTATATAAAGACAAACACACAGGAAGTAGGTCTTTTTCGGAGAGGTCTCTTGGCTGAAGAGGCTAGCTGCAGCAGGCGGTAAGGCTCTTAGCTCTGATCTCTTGGTTTTCTTCTTTGCATTGGTTCTGTGTTTCTTATTTAATAAGACGGTTGGTTACATCTACACTTGACCTCTCCGGCTTCACTAGGAAGCACAGCTCCCCTGAGTAAAATAATTGATTCTGACATCTGAGAGGTACTGATGACAGAGGCTCTAGAACAAATCATTAACTAAACCAAGTGTATTACAAGAAATCCACAGAGTCTGCTTAAAGGGTAAAGGAATTTATTAGGGAGAAAAGTCACTACAGCATGGGAGATTTAGCATAGGGTCCTGGAAGAGCAGTCTCACGCTGTTCTTCCGCCAGGTCCGTCTCAGCATCCAAGCCCCCGAGGGAGAGAAGGGAGAGGCGTAGTGCGCTCAGGTCTTAAGGGTAGCCTGGAGCCACACCCCAGGGGCAGGTATCTCAAGGTCATAGGTAGGTAGGACAGTTACCTGCTACGTCTCTAGGGGCAGTGCTTTAAAGTCATAGAACAGCTATCCCTACACAAGGGAGTTTAAATCGATCATCTTACACACACACACACACACACACACACACACACACTGCCCCCTTTGTGTCTACGGGTGTTTTGTCTGCACGTGTACCAGTGCACCGCGCACATGCGTGCGTGCGTGCAGTGACCTTGGAGGCCAGAAGAGGGCATTGGATCCTCTGGGACTGGAGGGACAGATGGTTGTGAGCCACAGTGTGGGTGCGGGGAATCCAACCCAGTCCTCAGGAAGAGCAGCCAGTGTTCTTGACTGCTGAGCCATCTCTCCAGCCCAGATGGAAAATTGACTTTTAAGAAGTTTATCTCAACTAGCTTCTTGACTATTCAAATTTTAGTTCTGTGTATGAAATTTTTAATCAGATGATGAACACACACTGCTCCTGGAGTCCCCCAGACATGGCCAACGCAAGCTTTGATGGTGCAGGTAAACCTTCGTTTGTGGCCTACTGTGAAAATATCTGTGTTAGTTATTTAGCTGCGTTGTGTTCTTACCCTGCAAGGAAGTGTCACGAAACATGACAGAATCCGCTTATAGAGTTTATTAGAGATAAAGGGACAGAGAGTGCAGGCCTGTGGGAGAGACACGTGCGTGGAGAAGAGGGAGAGGAGAGAGAACTGGGAATATGGCGCTCCGCTTTAAACACCAGCTGGGGGCGTGGCCAGGTCACGTCACTACTCCACACGTGTGCGTAGATCACATGGTCACGTTGCACGCTTACGTAGCCATGTAACATCACGGATTCTGGTCACGCGAGATGCCTTGGCCGGAACTTGCTAGGCGGAGGTGTCCGGCCTGACCGGAATTGGCTAGGCGGAAGTGTCCGCCTGGTAAATGCGACCGTGGGGGGGGCGTGTTGTGAACCCTTCAATCTGCACACATGGAAGTCAGCAGACTCCTAGACACTGTTGCTGAGAGCTAAGTGTGTCCATTGTCTCTGTTGTGCTCAGGTCGCAAGACCCCCAAGCAAGACCACCACAGAGCCAATGTCCCATGCAAGCACATGGAGGTTTTTAATAACAAAACAAGCAAGCTTGGTCCACGTCCAACATCTGACACAGCGGGTGGAGGTTTATATAGGAAAGGTTTACATGCAGCTTGGGATTGGACGAGGGGGCTGGGGTGAGGCAGTTCTTTGAAGTTACTGGCTGGACTATAAGCAAGAGGTCACTGATGGCTAACAGGACTCAGGGTTTCTACAGAGACATAAATTCTTGTTCCCTATGCCCTGCTTTTGTTGACACATTTAGATTTATTCTTCTAGTCCTACTCTCCTCTGAGGTCAACTTCGGTCAGTTGAGTCCATCACTCCTCATATCTTGTTTTGCCAAGTCCCAGATGCATAGATTTGTTGTCCTAGCCTAATACGTTCAACTTTTGGTCACTTCTAAAACTGCTGGTCAGCAAATACCTTTGGAGGAGGGGAGGGGGAAGTGTCTTTCAAGATGGCTACTGATTTTTCCCTTTTAGTCTCCACCTAGCATGCCTCTCAGAAGGCTATGCCGTGATGAGCAAGCCTCAGCTCTCTCTCAGAAGGCTATGCCGTGAGCAAGCCTCAGGCCTCTCTAGGCGAGGCTGAACGAATATTTCAGACTCGGGCTCTGTTAACAGAGAGATCTCCTATTGCTCCAGTTGGATTTGTCATCTCTGACTCAGTCCTACTCACTCAGACTCTCTGTACCACACCTGCAGCTGTCCCATCCGAGTGTCGCCTCGCTGAATGACTAACCCTGCATCCATGTAGCTTTGTGCAGAGCGAAGCCTTGGCTGGCCTCGTGATAGGGTGACGAAGCTCTCCTCTGCCCCAGGCCGTGTCTAGTTCTGACATTCCTTCCCTCCCTCCCTCCCTTTCTTTTTTTTCTGTTGTTTTTCTAAAGTCAGGGACTCATGTAACCCAGACTGGTCCCAAACTTGCTATATAGCCAAGGCTGGTTTTGAATTTCCAATTCTTCTGCTTCTCCTTCCCAAATCTTGGGATCACCGGTGGCACTTCCATGTGCAGCCCCCGTTCTGGCCTTTCCGTAGGGACTATGGTGACGGAGACACCTGCCCACAGGAGACTGGCAGACACCCCCTGATCTGACTCTCGGATGTGAACGCAGGTCCTCTGGCAGGCAGAGGGCCCAGCTGTCCCCAGTCCTGATCTGAACCCGCGGAGACATCCTGACACCTGTTGTTTCACTTTAAAGCTCTGGCTGTGCCCGGAGATGAGACAGTGCCCGGCACTGCAATCGGTCGGAGAACACTGGGCTGCCCAGAGGCCTGGCCCGTTTGTTTTCTTGCATTTTTGGTGGGGGTTGTTTGTTTGTTTTTCGAGACAGGGTTTCTCTGTGTAGCTTTGCGCCTTTCCTGGAACTCACTTGGTAGTCCAGGCTGGCTTCGAACTCACAGAGATCCGCCTGGCTCTGCCTCCTGAGTGCTGGGATAAAGGCGTACACTACCACTGCCCGGCTGTCTTGCATTTTTTAAATGTTATTTTTAAGCTACATGGCACTGGGCTCCACTGTCTATGACATTTCCATATATGCAGCCCTGTTCTTATTTCCCCTCCCTCACGGCAGCTCTTCCCCTTGGGTAAACCAATGACCCCAGGCCTTACAGGCCTCACTGAGGCTGGGGCAACTCCTAGACATTGGTGCTGCAGAGAATCAGGGGCACCCCAAATTCTTCCCAGCTACCCCACTTCATCTGTGGCCTGCTTTGCTGAGATGGAGAACAGTCCAGGCAGAGCCAGGGAAGCACTGGGGTCTCTGGGTTGGTCTCTCTCTGCTTCCCTTCTAGTGATGTCTGAGGGTCCGTCATCTCCCAGTGCACACCCTTCCTTCCCCTCGCCCACAGACACACACACCCCTGCTCTGCAGCCCTGGCTTTGACCCCCATCGGATCCCTAGGCCTTCCCTCAGAGTGGGTGTTGGGAGTAGCCCAGACCCTGTCGTCTTGGGCTGGGGACCTTTGCCAGCTTCCCCTTGCCGGCTTACCTCATATCCTATTCATTAGTCCATCCCACGACCTAGGTAACGAACGGGTATTGGGGGTTCCTGGGCGTCTCCACTGCCTCCTTCCAGGAGTCTGATAAATGTAGGGAGGAATCGTCCCTAGTGAGCCCAGCTGGAGAACAGAACTTGTGAGAAACAATTCCCACTTCATGAGAGCACTTTGTAGGCCGGGCCTCTCTCTGCCTAGCCTGGCTGGTGTGCTGACTAAGCAGAGAACGGTTTATGACCCTAACATGGCTCTGCCTCCTTCTCCTGAGGTGTCTGGAGGGAACAACATTCCTTGCCATCCAGTCTTACTTCCCACACAGGGATGTGTGGGTTCATCCCTACACTTTACATCCTGTGGGGGGCCTCCCCCACTTTACCCTGGGCACTCTTGAGGAGAGAGGGATAAGAAAATATCAGGTAGAAAGAGAGACCTAGTTGATGAGAGGAAAGACAGAAACACAGGATAACTTCGGGAGGGCCTGGGTCAATATCCAACAGCCCAGGACTTTATTCAAAAGGGCTTTTTATAACAATGTCAAGGGGCAAGGCAAAAGACCTCCCCCTTGCTAGATACAGCCCAGTGTAGACTCTTAAACACCTGGTAACCACGCCCATGGTCAAATCAGCCCCTTATGCAACGCTGCTGGGTAAAGCAAGCTCATATTCTCCAACCTTGAGTAATTTGGGCCTCTGCAACGTCCCGTTTATTCAGGGCTTATCAGGTGCCGGGCCTTGCAGGCAAGCTTAGCTATGAGCAGCTTTCTATAAATTTCTGTAAATTTCCATTTGGGGGGTGGGTGGCTAAGCAGATCTTGGTTGCAGGGGAGAGAGGGATAGCCAGACCAGCAGGCATTTGCCGAGTCTGGTGTCCTTTGTCCCTCTGTACCTGGACCTAAGGCTCAAGGCACCTATGAAAATCCGATTCATTTATAACACGTTCAACCTGAGTCCTCCAGCCCCCCCCCCCCATGCAAACCCCCAGTCATGGGAAAACAGTCCTGGAGGGAGAGGTGGTTGCTGAGCTCAGGCTGGGACCTGCTCCAGCCTGTGCCACACTGTGCATAGGACAGTGGCTCCCAGGCTGGGACTCCACTTTATTTTATTTTTTAAACATTTTTCTTTATTTCTTTTTTTTTTAAAGATTTATTTTTGAATTTATTTTATTTATTATGTGTACAGTGTTCTGTCTGCATGTATGCCTGCAGGCCAGAAGAGGGCACCAGATCTTATT